CGAGCATCACAGGCAGGCTCTGAACAACGACAGTCGCCGGGAGGACAGTCCCCGGGACAACTTCTACCGCCGCCGCCGGCTCCGGGCGCGCAATCACAGAACCCAGACCCAGTGATGCAATCCATTGAAAACCAGTACGGCCAGCAGGGCCCACTGTCACCAGCGGAGAGATGGAGACGAAGCTCGTACTGGAGACATACACCATACCCGGCACAACCTTGGGCTGCCCCGGGAATGCCTCCGCCAGACGAGAAGTATGACCCGTACGAAACTCTTCCCCCACAACACATTCCCAATGAGCGCTTGGATCTGGCGAAGTCAGCACAGTTTGTGAAAACCTTTGACGACTCTCGCAAGTATACTGGGGACCCGTACGACCTGCTGGACGACAAGATGAAGATGTTTTTCAACATCTGCTATCATGCCGAAATCCAGCCAAGTCAATTCCATGCGGTTTTTCCCCGGATGCTTAAAGACCGAGCCGAGGCCTACTACCTTCATTTTGTGAATCGGACTGACACGTTCGCAACAGCGTACCTTAAAATCAAGATGCATTTCGACACAGACCTTAACCACCAGCACTACTACACAGACTGGACGACAACGACGTTCGCAAAGACAAGAGCATAAAACCCGGACAAAGACCTGCACGAGGTTTTACGTCTGATGCTCGACAAGCTGCAACTTTGCCAACGGGCACTGGGCCGAGACTATGCCGGGGAGGACAACTTGAGAACAACGGTGATCAAAGCTTGCAGAGGAGTTCCCGAGCTGGAAATGGCTCTTTTCAAGCCAGCTCAACTGTGCGAAGAGTTATTTTCGGACCTGAGATCCGCAGTGGAAACACAGCTCAGCCGCGCAACTACGATCCACGTCATGGACGAAGTCCCAGATCAATATTACGTCGACCGCAGATACAACGGCTGGAAGCCAAGGGGAGGACGACGATCGCAGTCTCAGGCGTTTCGAGGAAATCGAAGGTTTGGCCGACCGAACCCAAGCCGTCCAAGCTTTGGGCAGCCAAGATCCTATGGTACTGGCCGTGGAACTCAAAGTGACGACGCTCGCAGAGGAGGAGGAGGAGGACGACCCTGGAAGAAAAGATGTTATGTTTGCAAGAAGGAGGGATGCTGGTCAACCAAACATTCGGCTGACGAGCAACGTTCAGCAAGAAGAAGCTACTTGACACAATGTGAATACGAAGGTCGTGATGACGACTTTGATACTTTTCTGAGCGAATTTGAGGGATGTGAGATGGACGACGAAGATGAATTCTACGAATGTGAAGACGAACAGGATCAAGACGACGGTCGCAACGGCGATACCTATGTCACAGAGGTGGGACCCGATGAGGAGGTCCATTACGCAAATGTCAATTTCCTGGCCAACGAAGCGTTTATGCACCAAATCACGGGAGACGACGTCTTCCGAATGGAGACGACCGTCGCAGCCAGTCAATTCGTCTTGAAGAACAAATACGACCAAACTCATTTTCAAGGAATCCTGCCGGACACAGGAGCATCATCAGTGTCCACGGCTGGACACGAGCAATTTCTTGCACTGCAACGAGAAGACCCGAAGTACCAAATCAATACGACCGCCGCAGGAAAAGCCAAAGTCAAATTCGGTGATGGGACAACCATCGATTCGCTTGGCACAGTGGAAATTTCCACCCCAGTTGGTCGTGTCAACTTCCATGTCGTCCAGGCACAAACCCCATTCCTGCTTTGCCTGGCAGACATGGACAGGCTCCAAGTGTATTACAACAACATCACAGATGAAATGGTTTCCTCCGACGGTGCGACTGTCGTACCAATACTCAGAAAATGGGGCCACCCATGGTTTTTCCTAGACCAGACTGTCAATGCTGTGTATTTCCTCTCGGAAACAGAAATGAGGAGACTCCACCGTCGCTTCGGACACCCATCGACAGATCGACTATGCCGGATGCTTGAAAAAGCCGGCAATTCAGATGTCGACAAACAAGCAATGGCAGAGATTGAGAAGATGTGTCACCATTGTCAGATGAACGGACCCGCACCCAGGCGTTTCAAGTTCACGTTGTGCGACGATCGTGAATTTAACTACGAAATCTTGGTCGACGTGATGTATTTGAGCGGACGTCCGGTCCTCCACGTTGTGGACTGGGCCACTGCTTTCCAGGGAGCGAAATTCTTGAAATCGATGTCTGCGAAGACCGCATGGCAGACACTGCGAATGCTCTGGATCGACACATACCAAGGACCACCAGATGTCATCAAACACGACGCAGGAACGAACTTCGCATCCTCGGAATTCCGTTCGGAGGCACGGATGATGGGAATCGAATGCAAACAGGTCCCCGTGGAGGCACATTGGTCCATTGGGAAAGTTAAGAGATACCATCAAGCCCTCAGACGAGCATATGAAATCCTGTACACCAAACTGCATGACAGCACAGATGACGATGCTATCCTGCAGATGGCTGTGAAAGCTGTCAACGATACTGCTGGACCAAACGGACTGGTCCCTACGCTCCTGGTCTTCGGCGCCTACCCATGAGTATCGCATGAGTCACCACCATCACCATTGACGTGGAAGCGAGCGGAAGCTGTTTCGAAGGCCATGAAGATGCTGCGAAAAACCATGGCCGAACGGCAAGTGCGAGACGCACTGAACACCAAGGTTGGACCTATCTCCAATACGGAATATCCGCTGCAATGCGAAGTTCGCGTGTGGAGAGAGAGAGAGGGATGGAAGGGTCCATACAAGGTCATTGCCGTGGACGGCCATGACATAACCTTGGACATGCCGAACGGAGCCGCGACGTTCAGGTTAACGGTCATTCGACCGTACTACCGAGACAACGACGAGGAAATGCAACCCTCGCAAGCAGAAGACCCAGCCATGGAACCTTAGATGCAACCTGTTGTGCGACCACCGTCACCGGAGACAAAAGACTGCATTATTGTGTCATATATCTCGGAGAAAGAAAATGAAAACTACGACCTGGCGATCAAACTGAGACAAGACGGAGTCATCACAACACCGGGCTTACCATTTAAAGAGTCTGACAGAATGGAAATTGACGACCTCATTGCTAGAGATGTCTTCCGAACCGAGAAATGGTCAGCAAAGCAACATGGCGAACATCGTCTCTTCAAGTCCCGCATGGTACGGGAGGTGAAAGGCAAAACCACGAAACCCTACGAGAAATCCCGATTTGTTATCCAAGGTTACAACGACGACAAAAAGGGATCAATCCTAACGCAAAGCCCAACCATTCAAAGAATGAGCCAACGAACGATCCTCGCACTCGCCCCCTCATTGATCCGAGAAAAAGGCATGGTTCTCACACTCCGAGATATCACTCAAGCCTACCCCCAAGCAAAGTCCGAACTGCGCAGGACGATCCTCGCAGAGCTACCAAAGGAACTGAAGAACAAATACCCTCCAGGCACGATCATCCATGTCATCCGACCCCTGTATGGCATAGCAGAATCCGGCGTTCACTGGTTCGACACATACCAAAGACATCACCGACAAAAGCTCAAGATGAACTGCTCCACATATGATCCTTGCTTAATGATTACGAAGCCCACACAACCCTTTGGAATGGTAGGCATGCAAACGGACGACACATTGATTCTGTCCATGCCAGAATTCCAGGACAAGGAGGAGACCGAGATGAAAGCTGCGAAACTGCGAGGAAAACCGAAACAAGAGCTGACGCCCGAAAACCCAATGGATTACAACGGGGCTCGCATGACCATGGACACCACCGGCTCGATCACTACTCGACAGAAGGGACAGGCCGACAAACTTGCCCTCATCGATGCGACAGTCAAAGACGCTCCCCAGAGATACCTCGAACAAAGAGCCCGCGAAGCATACATAGCTTCAATCTGCCAACCAGAAGCTTCGTACGATCTTTCAGTGGCTGCATAGGTACAGAACCCGGAGGCAGGAGATCACAAGAGCCTGAACGTGCGACTGTCGTGGCAGATGGACAACGCCATGCGAGGAATTAAGTATGTGCCCCTGGATCTCGAGACAGCGAAACTTTTTGTGTTTGCAAACGGATCATTCGCAAACAACCGGGACTTAACATCTCAACTCGGATATGTTGTCGTCCTTGCAAACGAGACTCGCAAGGAAACCGAGGGATTTACAATGACGGGCAACATTCTTCATTGGTCGTTAACAAAGTGTAAACGTGTCACCCGAAGCGTGCTGGCAAGCGAAATTTACGGCATGGTGAACGGAGTGGATATTGGAATCTCCCTGGCCACAACAATCAGGATGGCCACGAGACGACTCTTGTTGCCGGACATACCCTTGATCATTTGTACGGACTCGTACAGCCTGTACGAATGCCTTGTGAAGCTGGGAACAACGAAGGAAAAGCGCCTCATGATCGATATCATGTCACTGCGAGAATCGTATGAGATGAGAAAGATTGCCGAAGTAAGGTGGATAAATGGGAAAGACAACCCTGCCGACGCAATGACAAAACCGACTCCAAACACCGCACTACAGAAGCTCATCGACGACAACGAGCTTCGCATACGGGTAGACGGGTCGGTTGAGAGACCTGGAGTGGCCCCTTCCTGCTAAGGAAGGAGCAACTTGCCGCTGGCACCCTTTTCCTTCCAACCTCGCCGCCGCCAGCTGCAAAACCTCACACCTCCCAAACTCAAACCCCCGACACAAACTTCAACCTTCCACATTTCAACCAAGACCTTCTCAGTACCTCATCCCACATGAGGACAACCTCACAATCATTAATATCATTAACGATCATCGTTCTGAAGTCAACCTCATCATTATCATCGCCTTTCGCTGCTGTTCATCAGCGGGACGTTGAAACCGACTTTCGTCGAATTCGTTTGCAACTTGTCAACTTCTCTCACAACCAAAGAATGAACTGACGATCATCGCACGACAATCGCAGAGTTTTGCACCACAAACATTCATTTTGATTGCTGAATTCCTATAAAATCCTTTTCCTTTCCATTACGATGGAGAACACCAACGACGACTTGCAAGAGTCGTTTAACACTTTCATCAACATGCCTCACGAGGACGACGATGGCAAGCAGAATCATCCAGCGAACATCGCATCTGCTTCCCGCGCTGAGGACACACCCAGTACGACCGTCGCCACGGCTGCCGTCGACATGGCCAGCACTGGAGGTAGCCCTACCGCAACCCTCAACCAGAATCAGGATTCCCCTATGAACATCGCAACTACAACCTCGACCAACAAAACGAACATCGCAACTGCATTCCCACTAAGCGACAAGATGAAGATCGGAATTATCACCAAGGCTGCAAGAAGGGCCAGAATCGCCTTAACCAATGAGGATGAAGACGAGCTTGTTGGTCTTGCTGGTTCCTGTGGCGAGGTCGTCGCCGACGACGCTCATCCAATGGATGTCGATGAGGATGTCGACGATAACGACTCTCGTCCGCTCGCTCGTCCGATGGATGTCGATAAGGATGTCGATGATGACGACTCTCGTCCGCTCGATACCAATGGCAATCCGATCATTGCCGACGATGAAGACGACCAAAACCAGGCCAACGAGACCTTGACGAAGATCGCAGAGACCGCCTCTGACTTCACTCTCGTGCCAGGCACCAGAAAGAGCAAGCTGCTCACCAAGGTCAACTCCCGCGGAATTATTGAAATCGACAAGCTGAAGGCCATGGCTGTGGCCTAGGCCAAGACACTTTTCCTGAACGACGCCACTATGACAGCTGTCATCCAAATCATTAACAACTTTCGGTATTGGGATGAGCAGATATCTTCCAACAATATGGTCAGAAAGCTACGCATCCACGTTAAGAGCATTGGAACTCCTGGTGCAAGACTGCGTGGCATCCCCGACGACGAGAACCACTGGGGCGACCACCATCTCAAATGCCAGATCATTGCGATCTCCGCAATGAACGACCCGACAGGAGTTTCAATCCCAAGTGTCTTCTACACATACCGGACCGGAAAGATTCAGCTGTCGAAGGACTGGATTGCCATGCTGACCCAGCTTCAGAACTTTTTGCACTGGACCACCAATGAGCGCGTGCGAGGCCCGTACATAAAGGGACTCGTCAAGAAATATGCGCCACCGCCCAAGCAACCCAAGCAGAAGATGACCATCAAGGAGATCAAAAAAAATGACAGAAAGCGAGAGAAGGACCTGATGGATAATCAGGCTGCTCGCAACGCTCAGTTTCAGGAGGACAAGAAGTGGCTAAAGGAGAACAATCCGAAGCAATACCGAGTACGTTTTGATGATGAGAGTGAGGACGGAAACGACGACGTTCGCATTACGGAGGTACGTGACAAAAACGGACGCAAGCTAAAGGGTCCGGCACCAGCTTCGCAGGCATCGACTTCCCCTGCAAAGAAGAGATTCAGGACCAAGGCCCCTGCGCGGAAGTCAACGATCTCCGCAAAGAAGCGACCCCAAAAGCCGAGTGTCGAGGACGATGGGTATGATGTTTAAGGAATGGTGCAATGACGAAGGTCGCAAGTCTGAAGGGTGGTGCAATGGCGAGGGTCGCCAGGACTTGCTTTGGAACTTATGAGTTATGATTTTGGGCCTCTTTAGCAATGCTTTCTTACGACGAAGGTCGTACACACTCAACATGCGATGGATTATGATTTTGGGGCTGACTACGACGAGGATCGTACACACTCATCAGAAGAAGAGAAAAACTGCGAGTGTTGGCAAGTACGACCCTCGTCACTTGGAAGGCTACTTTAGTTATCCCCTCCGGGGCACGTAGCCTCTCAGACTTAGACAGAACAACACCAATACACGATTGCTTCCCATACGATTATCGTACGTACGAGAGACCTACCAACACCATCTTCGGCTCCAGAATATGTAGTCATTTGATACACACAACTCTCGGTCGCCTTGTGATTGCGCACTCGTATAACAACAAAACGAACAAGCTGTTTATTTACACCTGCCTAAGGCTCACCAAGGATACCACATCATCGTCTTGAAAGATGAATATTGTTAAAATATGTCGACATCGCATGGTTGAGAGAGGGTTTGATGTACGATACGTATGCCCGCATAGTGTCTTGCTCATGTCTTGACATCTAGGAGCATTTTTCAAGCTATCAAAGTACTCGAAGGGGAAGGGGTGAAGTCGGAAGGTAAATTTATGGATCTCATTGTAGAAAATCTCTCTTGCAAGCACCCATTAACGAGGCCTACTTACATTCGGTTCAACCTCGTCACCCGGAGGAGGTCTTCAAACTGTGGGCTTGTGGAAGTGGCCTGATACTTTGGAACAGTGCATCCCACGGACAAAGTCCACCCGCCCTCGATGAGATTGCGCTGGTAAATAGTCGTCTGGCATAACCCGCATTATCGAGAGTGGTGAGATGACTGCGTGTCTGTTCTGGACGTATCGTACCGGAGACATGTACGAGAATCCTTAATTTTGCCACTACCTGAAAGTGCCTGACGAATGTCAGTCTTGGTGGCTATTCCGCAGTAAATGCTGCGCATGAAATTGAGCAGCAGCTGGTGCTGGAGAATCGAGTTTGAGTTCCTCGCCAGTCTGGTCGTCTTTTGACTGAATAATCCTTTGCTGTTCATTTGCCCCATCCAGAAATGCTCACCTGTCTCTCTATAATTACCACCCATACCTATCCCGCTTGAATTATCCTTGATCAACTCCATCTATGAAAGTTCATTCATCGTAATGATGTGGCCAAGTATTTCTCTATGCAATCTGAGGATGATTTTGGACAGACTCAGCCCATGTAGATCCGCTCGGGTGTCCACGATAGTATGCCAAGTATACCGTACCGTATAGGGCCTGACATTGGAGTAAGTTCCTGGTCGCTCATTACTCTACCCAAGTAGCCCCCAACTAGTGTTCTTCATGATATGCAAAGATCCTCAGAGAATGAAAAGTGTCTCAGCTTTGTGAGACTTTCAAGTTGACTCCAATTAGCCAAGTGACGCTCAATATGAGTGAACCCTGATAAATTCTCTGGGGATCATGTCCTCGGTAGAGTCATGCGCTTAAGGAGCACTTTCACTTGCCTTGCATTCTCAAAATTTGTCCCAGGCTCAAAGTCACCACTGAACTGTATTGTATAGACTTTGCGTTGTCCTCGAACCATCTCTTAAACACCATTTGGGGAGGCAAGTGGACGTAACAGCCATCAGGGTTTAACCCTGATGGATGTGATTGGTGTGATTGGCTGGCCTGAATGATTCCATGCCTTGCATGACTCTGCCGCCAACAGCATTGAGATGGACAAGCTACCATGTGCTGCATCAACAGAAAACTATTAATCAGATGTCTCACAAGCTGGTAGGAACAAAAGAACAGGTGATGCATCCAATTGTCGACTGTAAATTTGATTGCAGCTCGTTACAGATCGTGGAAGCTGAATTTGGGTGTTGTTGGTGAGGTCTCCCTTGTGGAATCGGCTAGAAGATTCCAGGGGCTTCCGGCGGCAGCACGAAGCTGCAACGGTGGTGGGAGCTTCATCTCGCACCTTCTCCAGCCTTCTTGCTCTTGCCAAACCCGGACAAGTGTCACCGTTGTGACCTGTGCAAGCGGCTATGGAACCATCTACGGCGTGCCACAGCCTTCTGGGCGTGTCGTGATGATTACGTCGGGTTGCAGCCTCGCCGTTTCCACGGTTTTCGCGAAGCTTCAACTATGCCCTCCATCATCACCCATTCTCAAGTATAAAGATGCAGTGAATCTCTCCGTAACCCCAGCTGCTCTTATCATCATCAACACAACAACAATCAAACAAAGGCCTTCATGCACTCTACCAAAACAGTCTACAAGCAACTCCCTCGAACACTTCGCACACCATCAACCACTCTCAAGATCTCTCGACCTATCACCACCACAGCCAAAATGTCTTTCTTCCCTCGATCCTACTTCGCTCCTGAATCCTCCTTCACCCCTCTCTTCCGTCTCCTGGACGACTATGACAACTACTCCCGGGAAGTCTCCACCCAGCAAGGACAACAGGGGCAGAGGCAGACCGGTCGCCGGGCTGCCACTCTCCCGGCCTTCACCCCTAAGTTTGATGTCAAGGAGCTAGAGGGCAGCTACGAGTTGCACGGCGAACTCCCCGGGATTGAGAAGAACAACATCAACATTGAGTTCACCGATGACTCAACAATTGTCATCTCAGGCAAAGTTGAGCGCCACTACACCTCCGGCACCCCACCCAACGAGGATGGCAGTGTCCAGATGAGCGGCGCCATCACCGAGGGCGGCGAGAAGGAGCACAGTAACTCCCACAAGGCCACCGTCGAGGACGAGGAGGCCGAGACGGCCAAGCTGCAGGGCACCTCCACAGAAGTCACCAAGGCCAACAAGCAGCAGGAGGTGTCCAAGCCCGCCGAGAGGATCTGGGTCTCGGAGCGGTCCATCGGCACCTTCCACCGGACCTTCAGCTTCCCCAGCCGCATCGATCAGGAGCAGGTCACTGCCAACCTCAACAACGGTGTTCTGAGCATCACCGTGCCCAAGGTCAAGAAGCAGGAGGGCCGTCGCATTGCCATCCAGTAAACGGCGCTCTCTCCTTTTTTAAATCTCGCCGGAATACCGAGCACAATGCTTCGCTCCTTGATGAAACACAACTGGCATTACACTGCGACAACGACGAGATTATGAATCGAATGATGGTTTTGCATGGGGTTTAGTTTTGCATTTTGCGGCATTGATCCAAGGATTGCTGGCGTACTTTGATGGACAAGCTTGGGAAATTGGAACAGTGCTTTGATTAGATCATTCATTTAATACATTATTGATTCAAAATGTTTTAAAATCACACCCCATTCCAATGATTACTCGCGAAGACTGTGAGCAAATTACCTTGACTTGATGGACAGGTTGGCTGGACTTTCAACAGCCAATCTTTCCTCAAGCTTGAAACTAAGCTGATACTGTTGCAAGCGAGAACTTGAGCCATCGCCTGTGATTTTGATACAGAACAGCTAAGCCTCACAAGTCACATAGTGTCGTGACGAAATGGCAACCATAGCAAAGTAGGACATGGAGGTGGAATCGCTGCCGGGGCCGCATCCTCCGGCACTTAACTCCGGCCGGCTCCGGCTCCGGTTCCCACCACGGCTCGACTCACTTCTCGGATAGCGGGTCGATCATGTTGGAACGTCACTCAGCCAATGACATTATTTGACTGGACATCAAATCTGAAGTCTCTTAAGCTTAACATTTAGAGCCACATTTCGAACTGGAGTGGCGGAAGACGTGAAAGCCGCAACGATGGAGAGCTCGACCTCGACTGATGAAAACACCAGATTAGGCTGGATCGGTATGCCGTCCTCCCTGTTCAAATAAAGCCATGCAGAGCAACAGAATGTACAGAAATTGGAGCACTACAGGGTCCTGACACATCACAGGACTCGGTTCCATGGGACTGGGCATGGCCACCAACCTCCAGCGCCACCTGTCCCAGCTCGGGGCTCCCCCTCTTCACTACCACAACCGCACCATGAGCCGCGGACTGACGCTCCAGGCACTGGGAGGCGTGCCGTGCGAGAGCATAGCGAGCCTCGTGTCCAACTCGAGAGTGATGTTCCTGTCCCTCAGCGACGACTCGGCCCTGGCGGCGACCCTCGATGCGATCATCGGCGCCGGGGCCGGCAACGACCTGTCGGGCAAGATCGTCGTGGACACGTCCACCGTCCACCCGCGGTCCTCGGAGAAGGCACAGGCGAGGCTGCGCGCGAGCGGCGCCGTGTTCGTCGCCGCGCCCGTCTTTGGCGCGAGCCCGGTCGCCGCCGAGGGGAGGCTCCTGTTTGTCCTGGCCGGGCCGGAGGATGCCGTCCGGGTGATCAGCCCGTTCCTCGTCGGCGTCATGGGTAGGGGTGTGATCCGCCTTGGCGAGGACGTCAAAGAGGCCAGCCTGTTGAAGACTGCAGGGTAAGTCTATGACCCCGGACTTCTTGCTATACTTCGACGAGCATGTGGTTGGTTGCTCACACTTGTCTTCTCAGCAACTTCATGACCGCCGCCAGTAAGTGACTGAATGAATTGTTCTCTTAGAAGAGAGCACCCTTTCCGACGATCCATCTCATGGCCAAATACACATGTATATGGACTCACAACACTGACATAAATCCCTAGTGATGGAGGTCGTTTCCGAAACACACGTCTTCGCAGAAAAGACCGGCCTGGGGAACGGCCCCGTGGAATCCCTAATCGAGCAGCAGTACGGCCCCTTGGCGCTGTCCATGTCCAAGAGGCTGACCACCGGGGCTTACATGCCAGCAAAGGGGCAGAGGCCCTGGTCGGATCTAAACCTCGCGCTCAAGGACGTAGGGCACGGGATCGACTGTGCGCGAGATGCAGGGGCTGAGCTGCCGGTGGGCGAGGTAGTGCAGAAGCATCTCCAGGAGGCCAAGGAGGCCTCTGACGCCGAAGGTCGCCCTCTCGATTCCTCATCCATGTATGGAGTCTTGAGGAGGCAGGCCGGGCTGGAATTCGAGACGGATTTGGTCAAGCGAAGGGATGGAGCAGCTTGACTTCTCATGTAGCTTAAGCGGCACGTGGTAGACCTTTTGTAGCCAATGTTCATGCAAAGATCCCTAAGTTGTTGACCATAACGAAAGGCTTCTGTGTGTCACAATAAAATGGTAAAATGATAATTTAAGTTGTAGTACATACCATGCGAGAAGCTGCTGCTGAGCAGAACATCCTTGCATTAGACGCTTGAGTGTACAATTACGAAGATAATGCGAAATGAAACATGTTGTTTAATAGAGAAGGAATTGTGATGTTGATAAAAGTTGAGGGAATTTGTCCAAGGTAAGCACATCGCCAGTTGCGGCATCTATGTATTTAGCATCGATATTCTCACATGGGTGCCAATATCATTTCGATGCGATGGGTGAATTGTAACCGCACGCGCATTACCAAATGTCTCGACACCTCGATGTGTGACTGCCCCTGTAAACGGAAGAATGGTGTTGCTCTGCGGTTTCAATTGGCTTTCCCGGAAGAGGAACATTGGTGGGAGGGACATCCACTGAACCTCAGAACAGAAGGTCTTCACCAGGAAATGGTTCCATGGCTTTCTGTATGCTTTCTCGGAGGAAAAATAGAATATCGGGGGTGGCGATCCGCTATCCTCGAAGATGATAGGCAACTGGGAATCATTGAGCCCAAGGGAAGGGAACTGAGTCATTGCTTCCTGTATCTGGTGGCTGTCAAGGCCACAGAAGATCGAGATAGCAAAGATCGTCTTGCTCTCTAGCATAATGAAGTCCATGAGGCTGTCTAGGTCTTCCTGTGCCGTTTGTCCAGCCTCGACGGAAAGACGGCTACTTCCAGCTCCCAACTCCTCACACACTGCTTCACGATTTATTACGGCATCAATACAGCCGTGGGGGAAGAATTATTTCTGTTCGAACGAACTCTTGACCGCTAGCTTTGCGAGACGATCTCTCGGGCCTTCGCCACGGTGAAGGCCGCTGTCGAAAGCCATGCTCCCAGCATTCAAGTTATGCAAGTGATGAATGATGTTAAGGTGCAATTCGATGATAACTGAGATTCTGCTGACAGCTTCAGACCTGAAAGCTTAAAATGATTGATGTAAGTCAAGCCAGGAGCAGGACTTCTCCAGCAAAGCTGCATCGAGGGATAATACGACAAGGCTCGAATCAAGCCATCCTCGTGATGCAAAAGTGCGAGGCAAGTACTTGCAGCTCTGTGCTACGCGAAAACACACCCTGATGGGATGATAACTGTGAGATCATTGCCCGCATGCATCTGGGGGCGGGGGAAGCAGCAAGATTCGTTGAAGTCGTTGCCCCCTACATGCGCGCACATCACTTGGCATGGAGGCGTTCTCAACCCTCTCTGCTACTGGAGGAAACTTGGGGCTGATTTCCTGCATCGAGATACTAGCGGCTTCATTGGCGACCATTACAGGAAGACCGCAAGATGGTGATCACATCTAGGCAGGCTTCCTTGGCAGCAGGCTCACCGGTTTCGTCCGCATGGCGTGTACGGGGCATGCTAACCAACCAAACATCTGTTTGGCTTCGCCAGGTCAACAAGCCTCAAGAATAGATAATCAAGTGTCATACCCACAAGGCTTGACTACCTACCCACTGGCTACTTACTGCACACGGCGTTTGGTGAACGGCCCAGTGCACTACCAAGTATCCCGCCAATTAATCGCACATGCACTGCTACGTGCAGTTCCAACGGAGAAATGCCACACAGTATTGAGCCTTGTGCGGCTTGTCTATAGTGAAACCAACATACTTCCCGAACGTTCTCCACAACGTAATAGTGAAATGGACGAATGTGGATTTGTTATGATTCAACGCCTTACCGGCCGAGATCGAAATTTGGCACCTGATCCTTCGCTTCCCAACCAGATAGGAGACTGTCAGTGTGAACGAGTGTACTCTGAGTAATGTTCTATGCAGAACATCTGATAGAATATCTGTTTGGACGCGTATGTAGTCTAGGGCTATTTACAGAGTATCACAAGACAAAAAGAATTGCGAAGAAATCCTGGTGACACCTCTTGATACACCCTGAAGAGTATCAATCCTTTCCCGAGACCAGGATCCCTGCGGACTGTATCATCCATACTCAAGAACCGGGAAGGCTGGTGGGGCGGCCAGGAAATAGAGTTTGTTAGCCGAGTTCGCCTCCCGTCGACGGCCAACGGTTAAGCTTCGGCAGGGTTGGACGACATGCGTTGTGGTTCCCATTAGAGGCGAAATCCCCCACAGCATCGCGATGGGGATCAACAGGTGGCGACAAATTGGTTTCGAGACTATAGCTTCCAGGCTGTGGCGTCTGTGTGGGCGGCTTGCAACGACTTCTGATGTCTCAAGGATGGACATTATCAGTATCTTGTGACGGTACCATACTCCTTGACAATGACATCCCAGAGACCCGCCTAGGATATCGAGTGTCACCAACCATTTTGAATGCCCCCTTATCCACACGAAATAGAGACTGCGAATCCAGCAGCAACCACTCTGCCATTAACCTGCACATTAAACCCCAGCTATGCTCACTCCAGCTCCTTCCCACCGATCCAGTTGGAGATTGAGTGCTAACTGTCATGTTCAAAACCTCATCAAGGTGTCAATGAGCTCTGCTGTCTGAAATCAAGGTCGGTACCTTGGGCCATAGGAAATCCCTGGGTCGCTGCTGTAGACCAGTCCTTTGAACAAGAGAACAGAACCTTAAGATCCGGGTTGAGTATGTATCCATCAGGGATGCTACCATAGTCCATCCTATGGGAACGTAGGCGGGTATCCCATAAGCATAGGCTGCTGTTGTGGAGGCATTGACATCGGGATGGGGCCAATTCCCATCCCCATAGGGCCTCTGGGTGCGGGAGCGTTGAGGTTCTTGTTAAATAGCCCTATGAGTCGCCGGCCGACGGACGGCTCGAGTTCTGTGCCATCCCTGGCAATTTTGACCTCTCTATTCGAGTTCCAAGGGTTGCGCAGGCCTCTGCAACGGTAGAATGGGAGCCTGGTCGTGCATAGCCATTCTAGCTTGAACGGCTTGCCCCAAGTCTTGCTTTCCGGCCCGAGGTCGCCGCTCAGGCTCGACTCAGCGTCTAGCTCTGCGTTGGTTGTAGCGGCCGTCGCTGCCTCATCTGCTTCCAAATTATCAGCAGAGTCCTCACGAAGAACTTCCCAGAAGATTGTGCCTCGTGCTGAGTCATCGATAATGCGTCCTTTGGGTGTGGAATCAGTTGCTTCGGTTGGAATCTCCTTCGGCAGGTCCACGTCGCTCACGGACTGAACCTTGGGGGCAAATTCTATCGCCGCAGCTGGGTCTTCGTTGATAGTGGAAACCATGCGAGCATAGCCATAATATTCACCGGACTTGTTGGCAGAGAAAACCAGGTAAACGTTCTCGACTGTCTGCGTTTCATATTCGTCAATAACCACTGGTTCACATGTACAACGTCTGATGTCATACCTTGAAAGCTTTGTTCAGACTCTCCTCGTTATGAGCTTGGGTAGCCCAGATTCCCGTCCGTACGCTCAACTCGAGGTCCTCAATTGTTAGGCTCTTCAAAACGAAAAATTTGTCCTTCTGTGTGGAGCCATCGACTGCCGCAGGAGAGACTTTAGTCTCTGGAGCGCTCGAAACAGACGGTGTGCCATTTTCGGAGCTGCTTGGTTCAACTTCTGTCGTCGTGATGGGCAGATTTTCTTTGGGCTCTGGCACGGGAACATGGTGCGGTGTCGCAGCTGATGGGCCGGTAGGTGCCGTGATTCCAGAGACCCCTTCGACAGTGTTCTTCCGCAGTCTGCTCACGAGTCTCACGGATTGGAATTTGGACTCGTGGAGTTTCTGTTGGGCTGCTAGGCAGCTAGCCTCGTCTTTGTAGTTCGCAAAAGCGCAGTTCGACTTCGAGATCAGGAACAAGGATTCCAGGCCGTCTGCTTCCTTGCAGACATGGTGGACAAGGCTCATTAAATCCGTCTGAGACGGCAGATTCCCAATCCAGATGGCATGGCCTTCGAAGATTTAGTGAGACAACAATATTGTTGGCACGGGCGCATAAACATACCGCTTTGCCGGGGCTTCCTAGGCGGTCCGCGGACGACATTCGACTGGCTTTCGCTTGAACCTGCGCCTCAGTTAGGTATGTTATGCTTCTCGACGGTCTTGCTCTTAGACTTACCAGTTTTCAAGTCCTGCGTGGTAGCAAAAGCCCCTACGTTCCCGCTGTCCACAACTTGTGTAGGAGCAGCCCTCATTTCAGGCTGAGAGGCTGGGACGGGCATGAAAGAGCCCACCATCGCCTGGTTATGGGGCGCTTGCCCATGAGAATGGAATGGGGCCATCTGCGGGTAGTAATAACCCATCGAGGAATGAGATTGCTGGTTCCCCATGATCTGATTGCCATAATAAGGCATGTTTGGCATGTTGGTCCTTGGTGACATGCTTGACTGGGGCTGGGAGGGCGAGATAGGGGAACCGTAGTACGGTGACATCTGCGCCTGCTGCTGCATATAGTACGCCTGATTCGGCAGCTGTCCCATAGCTCCCTGCCCGCTGTACTGGTGCATTGGCTGTGCCTGACCGAGCATGCTTGGCGAAGCTCCGGAAGGGTTGTAACGCATTTGCGAGTTGTTCACGGGAGCCTGTCTGTAAGGTGGCTGCGGTAGAGCATTCGCCAGCGATGCCATATTGTACGGACCCGGTCGGGTGGGTACTTGTGGTTGTGCCATCTCGGAAAGCGAGGTAAAAGCTGGCTGAGGTTGACCGTAAAGCTGACCGGTATAGGCTTGCTGCGAGTCGACACCTTGGCTGCCCTGGTTGGGAGTATGTTGAGTCTCTAAAGGACCTGCTTGAAGGAACGCGCTTGCTGGTAGATCACTCGCGGAACTCATTGGATCGCCGCCCATTGAAGCTCTCACCGAAAGCCCTAGACTCTCCGCGACAGTCAGCACAGACCCACCACAGCTACAAGAGCCATACACAGGTCGATCTGGAACAGCACGGCAATATACCTGTGTACGTAGCAAAACGAATGGAAATCTGCAAGTGTAAGCAGAAGACTCGGGTGTAGGGGCAGGCGGAAAGTTTCCCGTGAGAGATTAAGGCGGAACGTCGCGCGGACGTGTTTAGGAAAGACAAGAAGGGAATGCTCGGAACTAACCAGACTTTGGGTAAGGGCTTCGCAGAGGCGAATAACGGTTCTTGACGTTTCGGTACCTCAAGCGCGGTGCTATAGCGTACTTTTAGCCCTGTCGTAGTGCAGAGACTCGTGGCCTGGTGCCCGGGGGAGGGTACGCTGTGACAGGCCGGGCCTTTAAGACGGTGAGCCAATGCTACTTTGGACGATGTCCCAGTAACAGGGGTACCGGGAAGGAGGAGCCGCCAGGTGCCTTGTATCCGCAGGGGCAAACAAAGCTGAGACTGGGGAGGAGGCAGGTGTGGCTGAGAAGAACGCGGCTTCCTCGAATACCTTTGCTTCTCCACAATACCCAAGAGACGAGAGAGACCAATTGTGTGGGTTTGCCCCGTATATGTGAGCTGCCTCGCCTAGTCGAACCGGGAATGGAAAACAATGTCCCGAATGCGAGTGAGCGGCGGACTCGAGGACCTCAGGTGTGCTGGCTAGGCCCTGGACGGTTCTGGAAGTGGCCTGGTACTGTGGTCCGGAGGTACGTCCGGGTCGACAGGCCACAGAGCAGGTCTCGCCACAACAAACGGCGAACACCCGGGGCCTAGTGTTTGCCGTTGGCCAGCGCTATATTTCTCGTAATCACCTGTCGACGCGAAAGGTGGATGATAGTTAAATGAGGTTATATCAGCAAGCTTGAGAAAGGCTGATCATTGCATGAAGGGGATGAAGCACGCATCAATGATGATCCAGTGACGATCTGGATGGTTTTGCTTAAAAAGTGTCGATGGTGTGAAGGGGACTGGTCAGACGACGTTGGTGCGGACACTGGGCGAGCTACGGGAGGAGGTAGGGAAGGATGACGACAAGCGATATACATATGTACCGTAGAGGTTTAGGTAGGTGGCCAAATTGTCTGAGAGGTCCAGTCCAGTCCGGTCTTGGGCAGCTCAGTGACTATCAATTTTTCAAGTGTCCGACGCATGGCATGACATGGGACGGGGACAGTGGAGATGGGGCAAAAAAAAAAAAAAAGACAGGAAAGGGTCTTGACAAGCACCCGTCCACTTGAGGACAGGCAGGAGCATCCTGGCTCGAGACCTTTTAAGCAGAAGCCCTGACGGGGCGTGGAGACGCACAATGGGGTCTCCATCCAGCAACGCCGGGGAGGGGTGCTGGTAGCGGAGAGACACGGCCAGAGGGACCTTGAGGGAGGATACCTGCCAACAGGGAGCTGGACCATCCTAGCCCCCAGAACATCGATCCCACACAGATGGTAAAATGAGATGGGAATGTCGATTTTCGATGGGCCGCTGGGAGGCAACACGGCAGTGTCCTGGGCCAGGGAGACGGGGGACCACCCCTGGCCATCAGCTTTTCGCCACCCACAGCCTGTTGAGAGACGTCGCAGCTAGAGGTTGCTGAGCCACAGTTGTTCTAGGCTCGCCCAACTTTGGGTGTCTTCCCACACACGGGTGCTACCACCCAGGTGGCGGAAGGAGGATGAAGCATCTGGACCCTCTGCTGTATGGGATCCGTCCTGCGTGAAGAGTGCCGAGGCAGAGGTTTTCATCAGGAACTTTCCCTCCCTCCCGAAAAAGACTCCAAACAAAGATTAAAAAGACATAAGGGCAGGAAATGCATTCGCAGGTCCAGGCGTAGAATAAGGTGCCGGCCCGCCCTGGTCATGAGAATTTGCCCTGTGAACCCCATTGAGGCGTTCTCCAGTGTGCTTTGATACCGCGCCCAGTCGAGACCGAGGCGCCACCTAGCTTAGATTGGAGCACCCAGCCAGAATCTAGCCTCGGTGCTAGGGCCGCCTATCAGCAATGCATTTCGTCCACGGCAAAACAGGTGCGCGACAAGCCGGATGGAGGATCTGCTCCAAGCTTGAAATTTGTCTAGACACACCTGACATGAGTTTGACCCTGGTTGATGGTATGCAACGGCGACCCCTTCCGGCATGTACTGCGTACTACGCAGAAGCTTTCTCCACACCGGGGCTCGAAGGCGGTACCTACATAGACACAACAAGGCAATGCATGATGTCCCGTCAGCGGGATGGATGCACGATGGGTGGCGATTTTACGACCTCCCCCACCCACCTAGCCAGCCAGGCCAGCCCAGGCCAGTCCAACCGAGTCGGACGAACCTCTCGAGGTCCAGGCGACACGACCCTAGCAACGGGTACTCTGGTTTGGTAGCTCTCCACTACAACACACCGGTAGCTTGTGATAAAAACTGTCGGCCCAAACCCTGCGAGCGCCATTTGGGCGGCCACTTCACAACTGATACTGTGCGTAGACAGACAGACGGACACCCCAAGCACCAGAGGCTGCGTCCATGACATGACATCAAGTCCTGAGACTTTTGTGAACGTGATGACGGCATGCAAACATGACGCCTGACGGGGCGTGACGGTAGAGCGGATGGGCCTGATGGGGCCTTGCGCCTTGGTAAGAGGAACAAAGTCCACGGTGGGCGGTGGGTCTTCGGCCGGGCGTGCTGCCGTGGTGTGGTCAGAGGTTTGAGAGGAGGGGATCGCGCGCACGAGCTGACATGGCGGTGGCGCTGATCACGGTGCGTCCCAGGGCCACCAGGGTCAAACAGAGTCGACAGGGTGCTCTTCACCTCAAAGCCGTAGGCCGTGCCTTGCGATTCGGTACGAAAATTCTGCCGATAGGCCATCATGTCTGTGCCGTCGGAAGGGGTCTTCGTCACGACACACAGTCGGGCCTGGCTTTCTGGGTACCAAGGTACTCGGTCGTCAGTCCGTCCTCGAGCGCGGCTCCTCGGCGCTAGCAGCAGGCGAAAAAGACCCTTTCGACGATCCCAACAGGGATGCTGCTCCTCGGGCACCCAAGCAGCCAAGGCAGTGACCAAATTGTGCATGTGTTGGAGCTCGGTAGCAGCCGCAGGGCTCTCCACGTTTGTCCAGTGGTAGCCAATTGCTGCAGAGAAAGATTGGGCCGTACTGTGCCGTGCTGTGCGGGGCAGCGATCGTCGCGGGTGGTGGAGGGCGGGACTGGGAGATGACGTCGATGGGGATGGGGGGCGGGGAGGGGGTTTAGAATGGACAATGTGCCACAGCAGCTGTGCAGCTGTTGCAGCCAGGAAACCAGACAGCTGTGCCGTGTTGTGGCTGCTGGGACTGTCATGACTGTCGTGATACACCACCCGATTTTCGAGGAAATTCCGTGGGTTGCCATTATCGTGGTCCATCAGATCTTTGGGCGTCGCACGCGAGACTGCTGCTGGCATCGACAATCCTGTCACTGTGGGCATGGATTGCTCCAGTGCAACAGACGGGTCCCGGCCCGCCGCTCTGAGTCTGCTGGATATTCAGCAAGTACGCCTGGCTGGCAATTCTACATTGGCGTCGACATAGTACCGTGCTTGCACTATGTAAAGCGGCCCTGTGGCGCAAGCTGGTAGCGCCGGGTCGATATTCAGTGGATTGTCTTTCCATAAATAGGTCCTTCCTGATGCCAAGTGATGTCGAAATGTCGAAATTGCCCGCCTGTCGACAAGTAGCATAATCTAATTTACCGCTGCGTGTGTGAGAGAGACGCACGTCGAAGGTACCTGAGCTGGGTGCTGCTCGACTGACATTAATCGGCAGGCATGTGAGCCAATTTGGAGTAGCTTGACCAATCCAAGGCGCGTCTACTGATGTAAGAGGTTGCTGACTGACGTCATAAATCGAAGGGTTTCATTCAAGACAGATCTTGAGAGCGAGACTGATTCGGTTCCTGCAAGGCCAAGGCAGCTTTCCAAGGGTCCTTCCTCTTTGGGCAATCGGGTACCTCTGCACGGAGCTTCCAAGGTTGGTGGCCCTAGGACGCTAGCCAGCCGTGGTCGTGTCCGTTTCAATTGCACCCGAGGACCGCAGGCGTGGCGTCTGGAGTCTGGCCCGAATATATGAAGACCAGTAGGCCCTTACTACAGAGCTCGCAGAGTCAGAGCCCATGTGAATCCTCGGTGGACTGCAATTGAAGCAGGTATATGCGGCCAGGAATAGATGTTCCAGGTCGAAGGTTCACCGAAGAAGGGAAAAAAAGCACCTCAGCTACAATCCCTGGACAAGCGACGCAGTTGTTCCTGCCTTTCTGGGGAAGCTGTCCAGCTGCAACAGCCAATCCCGGGGACGGATGTGCTCCAAAGGGCCCCACTCTTGACGTCATGTGTCGGAAGCTTTCACGTCCATTCAGACCGTTGGGCACATTGCGTTGTGTGCCGTCTGGAACCATTTCCGTCAAACTGCTAGGAATGGGCAGGAAGGCAGAAACAATTGGGAAATGGGAGATGGGCCAGGAAAGATCACACGGACAACGCTCAGGAATAAGGCGTGACAGATTGGTGTGACAGAAAGTCCAAGCCTTTGCGGACAGAGAGGGGGGGGCCGTCCCCCAGTCCCCCCCCTCTCTGTCCGCAATGAGCATACGCGCAAGTCCGTTGCCACTGGTTCCCGAGCATGCTGGCAGGACCCTGGATTTTGTTCATCGCAGCCGCATGAGGAAGGGATCGTGGAGCCTATTCTACTTTACAGTTTGGAAGTTGAAGGACATGGGAGGCAGGGGCTGGTAGTATTGGGCCAGGAACAGGTTGCGCTGCGGCGGACGGGATCCCGCTCGCAAGCGTCTAGAGGCCTATCATGGCAACCCACGTTATTTTGCCGTCAGTGCCCGCGCGCCACAACGAGCAGCGCCCCTTGAAACCTTGCGACGAAGTTTCGAGTCCCGTAAACGCGGTCAGGTGCTACCACACCCCAGGGCGCCTCGAGGTTGGCTAGACCATCTCGCCTAGGCAAGCGTTGCCGGGATATCGCAGTCAGCAAGCTTCCGTTGTGGAAGATGCGCCCGCCCCCTGATGTGAGAACGGGAGTGGCGAACTCCAGCAACAGGGCGATCACCCACCTGCTCTGGACCTGAATACAACTATGCCCCTTCGTAAGCTGTTGCACATACTTTGGTTCTTCCGCAAGCCCGGGAGGGAGCCAAGCACAAGCCCACCTTGCCCCGGGGATGCCGTCCGACGATCGACAAAGGCGTCGTAGTTTCTCTCGTCTTGGCGCACCGGGAGATGGCTTCACTCCATTCCGACTACTACCGCCGTAACCAGGCCGAACGACTCGTTCTCGCCACCTCCATCCCCGGTATTTCCTGTGTGAGTTTGGGGCGAGGCTGTCCAGCTGCTGACGGCTTAGTCCAACGGCATCTAATGTCCGCCCGTACTTTGGGTGCCCAGTAGCCGTGGAGGACTCGTTCGGCTGAAATTATACGTGCCACTAGAGTATGATTCGTTCCCATGGTTGGTGTGCTCGCTTAGCCCAGGAGATATGTGTACCGCTCAAAGTAGTGTCATGTGAGCTTACCGCGTACTCATTTCGAGGAAACCAACCCAGATGACCAGCAATGGCTCGCCTTGCTTGCATGGGTGGTGGACGAAGCGGACACTTGCCAAAAGTCCGGTATCATATTCTTGGGCGGACTCGCCGTACACGCAGGGGGGCATACGTACAATTCATATTAGCACTGCTTCTGAGTAGACTCAGCCTGCCTTGCGCGGGGCATCTTGTGCATGCAATCTGGTGACACCTGCATGCGAGCACCTGGATGGCGGATAAAGTATGCGTTGGAGAGGTATCCTCAAGTAGAACTTGGAGAGATATACCTCGCAGTATGCCACGAGTTGTATATGGTGCTTTTCAAATTGGGAAGATATTTACAAAGTCGGGAGTGGACTGGCCCTTGTGATGAAGGAAGGCTTTCAGCTCCTTCCAAATGGCCATGCATAGACACAAATCATCATGTGGGCGCATAAGAATCGATCAAGTTCACTGCCAATGTGGACTGTAGAACATTCCAAACATCTACTATGTCCTGGACAGCGTTGGCCCACGTGTCACGGCCAACATTGGAGGCCACAAGGACAGGCAGCGTACGGCAACGAATGGCGCATCAGAACCCAGCATTTTCAAATTGTAATGAATTTTACAGCTTGGACACCAGTCCCCCTAGAAAAATCTAAGCCTCGCCTGACGTCTCGATCCGCTTCAGCAGGTCTACTCGCCTCTTCTCGACACTCGGTCGCTGAGTCAACACGCACAAACAGAAAGTTGGATGTTAATAAAACTGTGCCAGAATTTGAGCCGAAGTCTCCCTCAAGAAACGATATAATCAAATTGATGAACCAAGTCCCCCGTCCACTGAGAAAACAGGCTGAAGAAAGCAGACAGCTCATCCATTTCAGCTTTAGCTACGAGCAAGCAACTGACCAGTATTGCCAGTTATCCGTCGGGCATCTCTTTTTCGCATGAACTGGTGATGATCAGAATAAATCAAGATGCCTGAGTTTGTCATCCTTGCGAAACTGCGTGGGACTTGAAAGATCATGTTGATGCGCAATAGCATAGCTACGTCTACATGTGGACGGCAATGGCAGCCAGCAGACCCCTTGAACAGTCTTGAATTTGCCTGAATCCTTTTGATGCATCCTTTCAGGGAAATACTTGTTTCGAGAATACAGCATGTCTAGTGTGACTTATCCTGAACACCACAGGCACAGCTGTCTGGGGCAAGCCCGGCACTTGCATGCGGCTTCTGCATCGAGGACCGGCAAGCCCTGCGCCCCCAATCGTGGGGTGGGCTTGAAGAGATATAGACAAGATTCGATGTGCGCCTGCTCAAATCATCTCTGGCCGTGCAAATCCTGGCACCTACTGGTGTCCTCAACAGACTTTGCAATAACCGGTATTTGCATGACCACCCGGTGCATGTGAGCTTGCTTTGTGCCGTTTCTCACCGCAGACGTGCGGATACGCTGCTGGCACCTTGCAATTGACTAAACTTGTTCAAAACGATGCTGATGGTTAATTTGGGATGAACAGCCCTGCGACCTACCAGAAAGTGGCAGCGTGCCGAAGCTGCTCTGCCACGGTCAGCATGTGATTCACTGGACTTTGATGGTAAAAGTCAAGTCAGACCAGCCCCTAGAACGGCCGGAGTGTGTCGTGAATCTAGTCTTTATCTCATTGCGTGTCTTCGAAGCCGAGTGACTACCGTGATCGTATCATACAAGTTGCCTTGTTAAGCAAGTCGTGAGACTCCTCTCCCACAGTCGACTAGTCTTTCTTCAGAGGCAGCAGAATCTCCTCAATTCCATCTTTTGTGATGACCAACATCTGCAGTCCATCACCGACCTCGATGTGTCTCTCCACCGCACCGTCAAACGCATCCTTGACCAGGATCTCCACGTCCCTCCGAGACAGCGGCTGCTTCTCCCGCTCCTGCAGCTCGTGTCCCACGCCGCTGCCCGGCACGAACTGGTTCTTGAAGTTGACCTGGTTGTCCAGGAACGGCATAATCAGACTGGCAGCGGCGCCGCCCGCCCGGCACATCTCCCGCTCGTAGCTGCCCACGGGGTCGTAGCTGTAGACGGCGCCCTTGCCCTCCTCGTCGAGGCCGCCCAGGATAGCGTATGCGTAGTAGGGGAAGAAGCGCTTCTGGTAGAGGATCGTGGACAGCCGCTTCGCGCAGGCGTTGACGCTCATGGGCTTGCCGTGGCGGTACCGGTACATCTTGCAGATGGTGTCGAGGCGCTCCTTCAGGGCCTCGCCATCGGCCGCGAAGCCGCATACGGAGAGGACGAGGTTCGCGTCGTGCTGGTCGGCCGTGCTGCCGCCGACCTTGAAAACCTTGGGGTAGTGTCGTGTGTTGATGCTGTAGCCGGCCGTGTGTCGGGTGTCGCCGGCCAGGATGGCGAACTCGGCGCCGGCGATGGCGAGGATGGAACCGCCGTTGTCGGTGTAGCTATAGAGTCGTCAGAAGCCTGGGAAGGCAGGTAGTATTAAAAGGAACGATGGATGATCCACTCACGGGTCAAAGCGATGTTGTCGGAACTCGCCATTGTTGGTTGTGGGAGCATCGTTGAACGAGTAGTTGGGCCCGTTCATGAGGGGGTTCTGGCTGAACATGGCAGCCATATTTGCGGTTCTGAAGATGGAAAGGACGGCAGAGGTGCGCTGGTGAGAAATGAGGTTTGCGGTGGAGGAGGATGAGATATGTTTGGCGTTTGTGATGATGGCATGCGACTGCTGGAAGGTGGGCTTGAGGCTGCAAGCTGTCCAGTGAGGTCGGGCGCGTCAGCCTTGCTCTGCCTGTAGCCGACAGGGGTAGCTGCAGCTTTGACTAAGCAGCGGGCTGGAGCACCCATCTTTATCACTGGAGGATTTGATTGGACTGGTTATTAGCTGTCATCTCTCTTGGACAAGGGGGGCCCATCGTCTAAGGGATGCCCGTCAGCCCGAGGCCATTTGCTGCTATGTAAAGACAAGGAGTTTGGGGGCCACCACAGGCGCAAGCACTCACTTCCATATAACATTACTGCTTCTGAGGACTGTTGGTCTGACGATGGAATAAAATCCAATTGATCTGCTCTTCTCTTGTTCCTTGCCAGCTTCTGCCTCGAAGCAACCCCACTGCGGTACCTAGGCACCCTGCGAACCCCTTACCTGCGCCGAAGCCAGCATGGCTCGAGACATTCGTTCGAAGGCGCTGGAGCGCATCGCTGCCCTCTCAGCCTCCAAACCTACGGCGCCATTCGAGAAGTCGGATTTGGATCGTCTCTGCAGGGCCTGCCCAAGTCACCAACACCATACGAGGGCGAGGAGTGGCACGAATGGATCCGAACACCGGAAGCCCTCCTCTCTCGGGCGGGTGCCCATGGTGAGCGAGCACTCTGTGATCATGGCAATCATTGCGCGCGGCTGACTGACCGTTGCAGACAATTCGAGAATTCGAAGTCCTCCTGTCCCTTTGCAAGGCCGCTCCGCTGGTCCAGAACAGCCAGAATGCCCAGAGGCTGACTCGGCAGTTGTCACCCTATCTGCTCGACGCTCATGTCCAGGAATTCGCGCCCTCGCCATTCTATCGAAAAATCGAACCCTCTCCGACCGAGTCGCTTTCTTACCATGTGACCTCGGCTCTACTGTGTCTCGGAAATCATGATGCGGACATATACGAGAACGTCTCCGCCAATGTTTCAGTGTTCCTCAAAGCTTGCGCGCGTGCAAGCGAGAGCTTGATGTCTGCGCAGGGAGAGGGAGGCGGTGATGTGAACCTCACGGATGCTATGCAGACAGCTTCGATTGCAGTGTCTTTGCTGGGCTTTCTCGATGCCGCGGCGGCTCAGGCTGACTTTTGGAGGTCGGGAGGTCGACTGGCTTTGATACAACGACTGCAAAAATTGCTGAACGAGAGGTTCCTGATTGCTGTTGAGACTGCCTTCTCAAAGATTCGCAACTCACACTCCCACGACCGTGCGCCAAAGGAATGGAGGCGGTACCTGCGCCACTACCAGGAGGTTCGGCGACCATTGGGCGCGATGCTTCTTCAGCAGAGGTTCATGCTACTCGTCACGTCTTCGACTTCGCTTTTGGTTGCGGAAAAGTCCGCCTTGAAGAAGACCCATGTTCTCGATCTCTTGATGACAAGCGAAGGGCTTCTTCGACCTGGAACTGGGAGGAGTGGAAATGGAGACACGAGTTCCGTGGTGACCTACTCCAACATCGTCATCGACCAGCTGAATTATTTGGAGGCCAGCGCCGATTTCATCCGCATGGGCTCCTCATCGCAGCAGAAGATAGCTTGTGCGGTCAAAGCGGCAGCATTCATCAGCTACCTGAACTGTTCCAGACTCAACGAAGACGCTGCGGACACCGATACGCTGATGGCTTGGTTGGAGGATACAGTCATTGATCCCGACCAGATGGCGGATGAGGATCTGGCTTCCGTCGTTATTCGAGCCATGGCGATTGTCTGCAGGATGTCTCCAACGCATGGTGCCAATGTCAGCCGTCTGCTGCCTCGATTCATTGTGCAAGGCCGCGCTCCAAGCCATGTTGTCGTGACGGCCTCTCAATGCCTGGCCTATGTGCTCCGGATGCTATCAACAGACGCAGTCATCACCACACTGTACACTCTTGGCAATGTGCTCAGTCCCACTACCGAGGAGAACGAAAAGGCCGAATTTGGGCTTGAAAACAGTGACTCGCAGGTTTACCGAGGAAGACAATCGACTGGAAGCTCAATATCTCTTCAATTCATTGGAGAGGAAGAGACGTCTACGGTTTACATCAATGTGGTTGATGCAATCTGCGGCATAGCGACTGCTTGCAACGACGAGAAGATCTCTGCTCTGGCCCAGTCTATTCTTCTCCAAAAGTACGATAGGATCAGTAATGTGGTGGACGCAAGGGTCATTACTGGAGCAGCAGTGCTGTCTCTGAGTGCGGGACAGCTTGAGTTCCGCTCCTTGCTGAAGAGTTTTGCACGTATTGCCCATGCTGCCGTGGTGGACAACCGAGTTATCATTCTGCATGCGGTGAGTTTATAATCTGTAGATGACCAAATCGAGCCTTTGCTGACTTTTTCACAGTTGACTGCAGCCAGAAACCACATCTCTGCCAATCTCCACCGGGACTCCCCGCTCTATGACATCTACTGGGACCACATGCTGGATAGCATCGTCTCCAAGGGAGATGTTTCTCAGACCAGCCACGCCAAGGAGTCCGACATGGAACTCGCCGCCAAAGAGATTGCTGAGCTACTTCAACCCTTGGCTGTTTTCATGTCCGCAAACGACATGGCTGCAAACAATTGGGCAGATGACGAGTTTCACGCCATGTTGCGCGATGCCTGGTTCAATATAGTAGTACACGGCTTCAATCCAGTCACTGAGCGCGGAAAAAGATATGCGGACGATCTGCGCATCATAGCCATTCATTCGCCGCCTCTAGTTGCAGAACAGCGCGGTGAGCAGGTTGAGAGTGACATCGAGCTCAACACAGTGCTTCGCAGAGGCATGAGCTCCGACAGAGAGTCGCAGCAGAAGAAACATCTGGCCGAGCTGGTGTCGTCTAAGGCGTCCGACATCAAGGGATTGAGCTATCGCAAAGTTATCTTCTTACACACCGCCTACCTCGTTGAGAGCTTGAGAGCTGAATCTGGTGACTGTACGAAGGTGCTGTCGTACTTCCTCGAACCGAGCATGCGGAAGGGTGACGTTAGCAGTGTTATGGAAGGAATCACAGGTGTTGTTGTGGAGAAATACCTGAGGAAGACGCTCGGTGGCGTCAACAACACATTCTCCGCGCAATATGCGGCGTCACAGCTGGCCACCATCTTCTGCAATTGTTGCCACAGAATCGAGCGTGTCCAGCAGGCAGCATATGCCTGTGCCGACCGCATCATTCGTGACGTTCCGTCCGCCTTGTGCCGTCGGTCCTCGTTGTTCGCCTTGCTAGAACTGCTGTCTCTCATGTGGGCAAGCTGTCTGGAGGCAGAGACAGAGATGTATGAGCCACGGTCGACTTTCACTTCCGAACGTGGAAATGTGACTGTTGAGCTGTCCGATGATTACACCTTCAGGAAGCTCACTCTGAACCGGCTGTACAAGGCCGCCAGAGGCTGGGTCTCGACAGCCATCAACCTGTCACCAGCGGACATCAAGGGGCTGCTGCAAACTCACCTGTCCGAATTTGATGATGAGGGCGCTTATGGCCATGTTTCTCTCGGCAGGTCCTTCGCAATGGAACTTGGATCCGCCATTCCAGTCACAGACCAGAGACTGATCTCGATTGACGGCATGGGAGAGGCCAACATCAATACTGCCTCTGACTTCATTGCTCAATATACCACACGCCAGGAATACCGCTATGCAGAGGCATTGCCGGACCACAGCCTGGAGTGGTTGACCTTTATGCGTATCGACAGGAGGGCGTCTTATCTATCTGGTGCCGACACGGAGAGCGCCGATGCAGTCACAGCTTTGGCTCACATCGAAAATCGCATTCTGCAGAAACGGAATACGCCCATGGTCGATGTCCGTGACATCCTCCGTCGGGCTGCTGCTCTGCTGTGTCGCAGTGAGTCAGGAGTGGAATGTGCAGTGGCGCATCATCTCGTGAGCATACCCTTCGCCATGTTTACGAAGCAGGCCATCAAACTTGGAATCTCGTTGTGGTTGGGCGTGATGAACGAGAATCCTATCTGGGAGCCTCGGATTCTCAACGAGATATCGCAGCAGTGGGAGCTCAGTATCCACAAGAAGCTTGGCCTGTTCAGTGCGGCGATCACATCTCCAGACCCGTTCTTCCTCAGGGAAGAATTCGCTCCCAGTGACCAAGAGGCTCTTACAAAACGCAAACAACTGGTTCACAATCTTCTTTCGCCCCATGCCCGCCTGTTGGAGTTCCTCGGCAGCCATTTCAATGCGACGCGACTGGGTAGTCCTGACACACAGAAAGTCCTTGTCAGGCTGCTTGATGTCACAATGGAGGAGCTGCAGAAGGCCACGCCTCACCCTCTGGCGAGAGAATTAAGGCTCCAGCTTGTTCTGTTTGGGCTGAAGGTCCTGCGGACTTCAACGACGATTGGTCCAGTGTCTCAATGGCGTCTCAAAGACAAACTGCTGTCCGCAGCATTGAGCTGGTTCTGTCATGCACCCAAGTGGTCTTTCGGCAGTAACATGCTACAGATGAAGACTGAAATCCGGCTGATTACAGATGTTATTAACGCTGTTAAGGCTGTCGGCTTCATTGGAGCCCACTCCGTTGGAACTTTCAGGTCACTGCAGGCTCTCCAATCTAAAGAGCAGCTCTTGCTACTCTTGCTGGAGAGTGAACAGTCTAGGCTGACGGTTTGGGTCTATCCTCTGAGCGAGCCGGTACAAAGGCCATCAACCCTGGTCCACACCGGCAAAGGATCCCTTGAAGTAAGATTCCGCCCCTCGGTACCATTCGAGCAAAAACTAACGACTGTCCAGAATGCCTTGCTTCCCTTGATGCGTACGGCATGGGCTGAGAGCCCCTCACTCGCGATAGAGCTCTGCACAAGATTCCAGTCTCCTCGGATCCACAAGGAGATTCGAACGTTGCTTCTCACATACCCTGAAAAGGCAGTAGGGGAGCCTGAGGCACTGCCAATCCTTTTGGGCGGCGCCCTCCCCAGTGATATCAGCAACCAGTTGAGGGTGAGTTCTTCCGTACCAGCCTACCTGAATCTGGCCTAACTTGTGCAGTTCCTGTTGTTCTGGGCCCCCGTCAACCCCATCACCGCGGTCACGTATTTCCTACCAGCGTATCAGAACCATCCTTTCCTGATCCAATATGCTATGCGGGCGCTTGAAAGTCACTCTGTTGATGTGACCTTCTTTTACGTCCCCCAGATCGTGCAGACACTTCGGTATGATGCACTAGGCTATGTTGAGCGCTACATCATAGAGACTGCGCAATTCTCCCAACTCTTTGCCCATCAAATCATTTGGAACATGAAGGCCAACTCGTACAAAGACGACGATGGCCAAGTTGTAAGTTGTACCACCTTCAACTTGGCCGAAAGTAGACATGCTGACCATGCACACAGCCCGACGACATCAAACCAACCCTGGACAAGGTGATGGAGAGGATGGTTGACAGCTTCGACCCTACTGATCGAGAATTCTACGAACGAGAATTTACATTCTTCGACGAGGTTACAGGTATTTCTGGTAAACTCAAACCTCTGATCAAGAAGTCGAAGCCGGAGAAGGCGCAGAAGATTGAGGAGGAGCTCCGCGCCATCAAGGTTGAAGTTGGCGTCTATCTTCCCAGCAACCCAGATGGTGTTGTCATTGGCATTGACCGGAAGTCTGGTAAACCACTTCAGAGTCACGCGAAAGCACCGTTCATGGCCACCTTCCGGATCAAGAAAGACAAGGGGAGCCTGGAGGAAACAGGCAGCATGATTGAGGAGACAGTGGAACGTGGCGCGGCTCCGGCTCCCACAGAGCAATCGATCGAGGTCTGGCAGTCGGCCATCTTCAAGGTCGGCGACGACTGCCGTCAAGACGTTCTCGCCCTCCAGATGATCGCCGCCTTCCGCGGTATCTTCCACAGCGTCGGGTTGGACGTGTACGTCTTCCCATACCGCGTGACCGCCACGGCGCCGGGCTGCGGTGTCATCGACGTGCTGCCCAACTCGGTGTCCCGCGACATGCTCGGCCGTGAGGCCGTCAACGGGCTGTACGACTACTTCGTCTCCAAGTACGGCAACGAGGACTCCCTGCGGTTCCAGCAGGCGCGCAACAACTTTGTCAAGTCGATGGCGGCGTACTCGCTCATCTCGTTCCTGCTGCAGTTCAAGGACCGGCACAACGGCAACATCATGATCGACGACGCCGGCCACATCCTGCACATCGACTTTGGCTTCTGCTTCGACATCGCGCCCGGCGGCATCAAGTTCGAGCGGGCGCCGTTCAAGCTGACGTCGGAGATGGTGGCCGTCATGGGCGGCAGCACGAACCACCAGTCGTTCAAGTGGTTCGAGGAGCTCATCGTCAAGTCGTTCCTGGCGAGCCGCACGCACGTCGAGAAGCTGAGCCAGATCGTCCTGCTCATGATGGACAGCGGGCTCCCCTGCTTCAAGCCCGAGAGCGTGGAGCACTTCAAGCAGCGCTTCGTGCTGGACAAGACCGAGAGGGAGGCGGCCGACTTTATGAAGGAGCTCGTCCGCAAGAGTTACTCGAGCTACTCGACGGGCATCTACGACCAGTTCCAGCTGATGACCAACGGCATCCCGTACTAGAAGAGGTGAGGTCTTGAGGGGGCAATGTTGATATTCCGAGTGGCACTTGAGGAAACACGGCCATTTCACTAAGTACAAATATTTTTAATACAAATTGATAGTTCCGGCGACAACCACTACCAAGTTCTTTGCGTATCGTGTTGATATGCACATTGCTTCTGATGACTTTCCTTTGTTGCGTGATGCAGGGCATACCCTTCCTTGCCTTTCCTTATAGTCTGCCTCAACCCTGGGCACTAGAGCCGTCGTCATAGCCCCTCCGAGCCCATTTGATGCCTCGTTTCCCTGTCAACCTGCATTGCTCGTTGTGTGATCAACGTAGCAATAGTGTGACGACACGTCCAGACAAGCCACGAGACGCTGCCCAATAGAGAGCGCTCAGTCCCAGCAATTCACTCCTACTAAAAGCTCGAGAATGTGAGCTGTTGCTCGTTGCAAAAAGGTCGTGGATGGTGGCCTAGGAGGGCATGCGACCGGCTCGCAGTAGCGCTCCTGGCGGATGAATTTTCTCTCGAACTCCTCTTCCTCTGTCTCTGTCTCTGTCTCTCTCTCTCTCTCTCTCTCCCCTCTAAAAAGCATACCCAAGTCTTCCGCACCAACCCCGTCACAGATCAAAACGCCTTTTTTGAATGCCGCCCGAAAAACTCCTGCATAGATTTGATGATAACCCATACGCCAATGCTTCCCCCCAGCTTACGCCGCCTGCTGCTCCATGTGAGTCGGCAGGTTATAACTAGCATAATCGCAATGTACAAAAGCCCTGTCCACGATAGGGACGGACTCCAGGACGTATTGTAAACTCTCACTGTTTGCCAATTGGTCAGTCGATTGTCCTACAGCCTCAAAATTGAGAAGGCGAGGGTGTAGGGATTTGAAAACTTACGCAAGGTCATGACTATCCTTCAGCGACGTGCTGGCGTCCAGCACAATGTCCACCTCGACGTTCAGCTTGTCGCCCGAGTGGTAGGCCTGCAGGCCCTGGATCTGGCGGATGGTCTTTGCGAAGCGCATGGTCAGGTAGAGCAGGATGTTGCGCTGGTCGGCGGTGGCGGAGAAGCCACAGAGGTTCTTGATGTGCTCGCTGGCGCTGTGGCTCCAGTTGAAGATGACGACCATGGACAGCAGCAGACCTCCCAGGGCATCGAGCCACCAGATGCCCGCGTAGTAACCCACGATAGGGAAGGCGATGGAGCCGAGGTTGAAAATGATGTCGGTCATGGCGTCGTCGGCGAGCGCCTGCACGGACGAGTTCTTGATGAGGCGGCACCAGAACCAGCACAGACCCTTGATGATGACGGTGCTGGCCATGATGCCGATGGCCGAGGCGGGGAGCTGGATGACGCTGTGGTCGGTGCCGGCCAGCGTCTGGATGGCCTCAAGGGCGACCTGGACGAACGAGGTGATCATAATGACTGAGAAGACCAGCACGCCGACCGGCTCCAAGCGCCGCCGCCCCACGGGGTAGCGGTACTGGTCCTGTCGGGAGATCAGGGTGGTGGTGATCCAGACGATGACGGTCGAGAGGAAGTCGAGGGCTGCGTCCACCAGACTTGCGAGCACGGAGACGGAGGGGACGGTGATGATGACGACGAGTTTCCCCAGGAGGAGGGTCAGGTTCGCGATGAAATTGACATAGATGGCCACGGTGACGATACGGGCGCCGCTGTCGACGTCATCGTCGTCGGCCCAGGGGATCTCGGGCTTGGCTTTGTCGTCATCCTCGCCGTCGAGGTTGGGGGCGCCGTCCTGGTTCATGGCCTTGATGATGAGCGGCGTCGCCTCCTGAACCGAGATATCTGACGACGAGGACTCCAGATTGGTCGGGCGGTAGATGTCCTTGGGCGTTCGCTTCACCTTCTTCACCACTGTGCCGTAACCCGGGGTCGAGCCGGAGCCGCTGGCGGAGCTGGAAATGGGCTGGCCGTTGGACGAGCTGCTCGGAGTGGAGGGCTCCTCGGAGATGGTGGTCGGGACCTCGACGCCGCGGCGGAAGGCCGAGAGGGGCATGTGGTTGTACTCGTTCAGGAGGTCGTGGGGCAGCGACGAGTCCAGCAGCTTGTCGATGTACAGGTACTGCTGGATCAGGTAGTTTGTGCGCTCGTAGTAGCCTCGCACCGACTTGGCGGGCATGTCCTTGAGCTGGTCCTCGGTCTTCCAATACCTCTCCCACTTGTAGCGAGGGTTTGTGCTGCCGATCAGACGCATGCTGCGCATCTGGGGCCCGGTGAGGAGGGCGTTCAGGCGGCGCTCCTCGGCCAGAGAGCGGTGGTCATCGTCCTCGTCGTCGATGCTGTTCCGTTGCCTGAAGGCGGTCCAGTCTGGGAACGGCCCACTGGGAATTGCTTCCTCCTCGTCGTGGTAGGCCTTCCATGCCGGGCTGTGAATTGAGGCCTGGGAGCGGTTCCTGATGAGTGTGGTCAGGGTGCCGTGCCCCTTGGAAGCCAGCATGTTCGGCTCGTCCTGCTGCAGCAGCAGCGACGAGGGCCGCCGATGTGAAGGGGACGTCATTTTGGGATATTATGCAGGGCGTGGCCGGGGCCGTCACAAACGCTCAATGCCGCCCAAAAAGAATGCCCTGGTGCGCGGGAGACGGTCTCGAGCTCGAGAGATGCCGTGGGATGCTGCTGCGAATGCAACTGAACAGACAGGAGCCCTTTCTGAGTCTTTTCCGTGGGGGTGTTTAATTCCGCGTGTGTGCAGACTGGAGGCGAAGGAGATAAATCGAGCCGCACCCGGCCTTTTTAGATTGCCATCTGCAGCCGCAGCAGTGGGGGGCCAAATCGTTCGTCTAAGTAGGGGTCTATAAATAGGCTGTGTATACTAGAAGCTGCAGATCCACCCACAAGACAGGACGAGACTGGGCAGGGACAGGACGGGTCGGGACAGGACAAACACAAGACAACATAAACCGAGCCAAGAGGAGCAGCGGCGCTGGGCAGCGCTTTAGATAATACGCATAGCAATCCTTAGCGGGCGGGCCATGCTGTCTGTCGTACGTGTGCAGTGCGTGTCTATCAGCTCGACCTGGATGGCATAGCAGCACCACAGACAGTGTCATGTAGCGTACACCATGCACTCTGCTGCAATAGCTGCAATATGTCCCTCGCCCGCGCGTGCATTGGCCTGCACCGTGGCAACGCATTCGTCACAAAACGGGTCCTCACGAGCCCGGTCCCAATCCGACAACGGTGTGGCAGAATTGATGCCCTGCCAAGAGCCCAGCGACGTCGAGGACTTCTCACACACACTACTCACCCATACTTTTTCCCGCGTGCTCCATGCTACGTGCTACGTGCTAACGTGCTGGCTATTGGGGGGGGGGGGTAGCCGAACGTTGAACACGTCCCAGGCCCTGCCTCGGGCTAGGGGTCATCCCCGCCGATCCCTGGGTGATCCTGCTGGCCAGGGCAGCTTGTGCCGGGCCGCATGGGTGCAGGTCCTGCAGGATGGGAAACAAGAGAAAGTGGGTGCGTTCTCTACCGCCGTGCCTACCCCACGTACATACAGCATGCCTGCCCTGCAAACCCCGTACTATCTCCATGCGGCAAAAACCACAGCACATCACTTGGGGCCGCAGGAGACGGCCGCTCCTTCTTTTCTTGAAACTCACTCGCCCAACAGCCGGGCCACGACAGTACGCGCTTGAGATGAGGCCGCGGCAGATCGCTTTTCAGGAATCACCAAATGCCTACACCCGCCAATGGCAATGAGAAGGCCACTGCCAACGAGAAGAGAGTTAATGACAATGTCAGAAGTCAATGTCAGTAAATACACCAGCAGGGACCCTTTGTTGGACCCCTGCTCGGCACTTCAGGACCCCTTCTGGTTTCAGGCCTGCTGGACGGGGGCAGCGTGAAGGGATGAAGGGTCTTATTCGGGACGACACATCTTGGTCGATCAATTTGGGGACGTTCCCTCCAGCCTGCGATGACTGTCTCAGGTATCACACTCGCCATCGGGAGTTGCTCTGATGGTCCCGAAACCGATCAGCACCATGGTGGAGAGCTTCAAGAGCCCGGCATTCTCATCAACAAGCAGACGCCTTGCACAGAGCTTGGGGTGCAGCACCAGGGCCGCCCGCTGCTCTGTCCAAGGGTCTCATCCTGTCTCGAGCCTGTCATGGCAAGCCCACGCCGACGAATGGATTGGGTGTTTCGAAGGCACAGACTGGTCCTACACGTACAGTTAACTACATGCAGCTGAGCCGCCTCGCCCCATCTCCTTCTCTCGGCCGGCGGTCCAGTGTGCACGGTCCTCGGGTCCATGCCCCAGGTCCGGACATGGGAACCACACCCGCCCCTCCCTCTTGCTGCAAGCACGAGACTCAGGACGTGTTGGCCGAACCTGCCTCCGGGGCAAATGTGAATGTAATGGGAAATGCTACCGTCGTATTGCCCCGTGAGTAATGAGGGAAGGACAGAGGAATTGCCTTTTCCTCTGCTGATGTTCTCGCCTCCTGCAACGGGGGCGGGGCGCAACAAGTGCAAGTGCAGCCGATCTCGACCGGGAATCTCGCAGATCTCGCATCCATACAGTTCTCATCTCTCGGTCAAGAAATCTTGAAGCAAAGAAGCATGCCAAGACCAGCTGCGGCTACGCTGCGGCTCCTCTTTGCGGTGGCTTTGAAACGAAGGAGAGGAACACCCAGAAAACATGTCCTGCCCGCTCCCCTCAGCCGAAATTGCCTCTTTTGATTGCCCGATTCGGTTTACTTTGCCCACCCGCCAGGCTTGTCGTCTTGGTGGACTAGATGTCCAGCACGTGGGCGTTACTCGCCACTGAGCTTTGAAGCCCAAAATTTCGCCTGCAGGCGTGTCTAGGCCGAGACCGATAGCGACGGTGATAGCGACGGTGATAGCGACGACGCTGTGTGGACTGACTCGGCGCCATCTTATGAGACTGCCGTATCGTACGAGGCGGAGAAGGGGAAGGGACAAAGGAGCTGACAAACAAAAGGTTCGACGCGTAAGGATGGCAAGATCAGACAGACAGGCTGGTCCTCGATTCAGTCCCAAGCGTGCGAGGCCAGCATCATGGACCCAGCGAGCTTCTACCAGTGCTGTCATGGGATGGCTTTGACACCAATTTCACCACTGGCACAGTTTGAAATGATATGGGTATCACTGGCAATTACGATTTTCCCTTTTTGGGTGCATGTAGCAGGCTCAAATGCGGCTGTCAGCCAGCATCTGCGCAGCCATGAACGCGTGGTGAAGACCGGCTGAGGGCGACCTCTGCTTTGAAGGGCTCCTCGCTGGATCTGTCCGGCTGGCGCACGAGTGACAGCGTTCATGCACTGTCCCTCTTCGCCAGCAACTCGCCGACCACTTTGGCGGTGGCCTCCACGATCAGCTCGTGCTCGTGGGAGTGTATCCTCTGCTCGAGCTCCTCCAGCTTCTCTCCTTCCCGGCACTCGATCTCCCTGGTCATGATGGGCTGGCCCCTGTCGACCTTGGCGATCACGTAGTGGATCATGATGCCGGTGCGGTTGTTCTCCAGTTTGCCCGCCTGGAACTCTTGGTATGCTCGCTCGATCGCGCCGGCTCCATCGAACTGTCCTGTTGGGAGGAGGGCTGTGTCAGCAGAAGTTACCCCGCATGCTGGGAAGAGAACGTGGCCGTAGCAGATACAAACGCCGGTGTGTAGAGGGTAGAGATGGTCTGGAGAACACAGCGAGCACTTACCTGGTAGGGCAGGATGAAGGTTGATTATGGGGACACCCTTCTCCGCCAAGGGGACCAAGAACGAAGGCGTGAAGACGTGCATCCAGCCGGCCAGGACGATCAGGTCCGGGCTTTGCTGAATCACCTTGTCCGCCAGCGCGGCGTCGTAGCGTGACCTGGCCGCAGCGAGCTTCTCCGCGTCCTTCTCCCCCTTCGCCTGGAACCCGCCGGACACCATGTTGAAGTACTCGGAGGGGATGCCGGCCTTCTCTGCGCGCGACACGGCAAAGGCGGTCTTGCGGTTCACAAAGAGTCTCACGATCTGCGAGTTGGGGATGCGGCCGGACGCGACGGCGTCGAGCACCGCCTGGAAGTTGCTGCCGCTGCCGCTGGCCATGACGACGATACGACACGGGGAGGCCATGGTGATGGTGGGTGCCCTTGTGCCTGGAAACACTAGGCAGGGACGAGAACACCTAGATAGGCGGTGGCGGGATGGAATTGACGATAAGTTGGTTGTCTTCGCAAGCCTGTCAGCAGTCAATTGCTGTGGCAGAGGCGGTGAGTTCTTATCTTATCTGTCCCCAGGCGCGTTGGGGGAGATTCTCCATCCCCTGGAGCCGGGTTGATGAAGATGGTTGCTAAACTATCCCCCTTGCAAAATAAACATCTGGCGTTTGAAACTCTCTGACCCGTATGAGAAGATATATCGCATTGTAAATAGTGCGAGTAAGTTGGGGGATTTGGGGTGTATATTGCTTAAATAGGTCTAAGTCTACCTTTAGAGCTAAAAATTGCTTATTTAGGGCCCTTAAGGGCTAAACGCCCTTGCCTATACTATACAAACCCCCTTTTTTTAATAGCGAAACCCCAAGCCTAAATCATAATAATATCATTGCAAATATATATACTCCCCATTCTTAATTTTCTTTCATTAATAAACTAAGAAATAAGTTAATATTAATTTAGGTTGTAGGTTATTGTATTTACTATGCTAAAATGAAATAAAAACTTATGTTGCTATGTTAGCCTTTATAAGTACTTGCTTTAAATTAGGTTTTTAGTAGTAATAAATAAACGTTAATAATTATCCTTATTTTAATCTTTTTTAAAAAAAATAACTATAAAGGGTTATATTATTATAAAAGGCTGCAGAATCTTTTTTTAGGTTTTTCTTTATTATCATAACCCCTTATTAACTCCTTTATAACTTTAAAACTATATTAAATATTGCATTAAGTTGATAAACTTAATATAGCGTTTTTAATTTATTATTAACTTCTTAATTAAGGCGGCATTCTTAAAGAGCCATAGGCTTACCTATCTTTATTTATTTCGTTATGCCTAATGGTAATTAGGGTAATAATAGGATATTAAATGCAAACTTAAATAAAGGCCAAGCCATTCTTACCGTCCTTATCTTTCAATCTTAAAGTTTCATCCTTATTAATTATATAATTAATTAATATATCTTCTTAATTAATGCTTTAATTATCCTAATTATTATTATTATTATTTAAATTAAATTTTTCCTTAAGGTTATTATTAATTAGGTTAACTATATTCTTTGCATTTAAGTTATTCTGCTAAAGCTAATTTACCTCTTTAGCATATTGCCGGGCCGTTATTATAAGGTTCTTTTTTAGGCAATACATTTTTTACATAATAATCTTTATTGCTTGCTTTATTTTTTTAACTTAGCTTCTTCTTTATTTTAATTTGCATAGGGCCTTTTTTAAATTACCTTTCTAATTAGGATGGCGTAGGGAAATACTTATTCCCGCCTTTTTCTTTGCAGCTCCCTTGTTTTAGGTTGATAGGATTTTCTTTTTATAAGGCTTAATAATAATTGAATTTAGGTAGTCTTAAAGGAAAGATTTAATGTTTAAATAATAACCCCCTTTATTAGTTTTTTAATTAAATTTTTAAGAAATGCTTAAAATGTTATCTTTAGCTATAATTAAGTATAGAAGTTAGGGGCTTAATAAGTTAAGGTTTTTCTTAATGGCTTGCTAAAGGTTATTTGAAATTCCCTTCTCTTAGGCTTGAGCGATATGGTTTTTAATTTGGTTCCTTAGAAAAGTATATAGCCTCTTTTTATTACCGTTTTTTATAAAATAATAGAGAAAACCTTGGTTTATTAAGCGGTTTTCGTGGTTTAAGTTAACGATAGGCATATAATTCCTTAAGTTTTGGATTTCTTAGGTAATCTTTACTATTAGGTTAGCTAAATTCATAGGGGTTTTTAATTACTTAGTATAATATTATAAGACCTAGTGAATTAAAAGTTTTATGTTATTAATTACTTATAATTATTTTGGTTAGTTAATTCCCTTGTTGCTTATTATTATTAAGGGTAAAGTGTATAATAAAGTTTTAAATCTTAATTTATAAGGCATTAAATATTTAATGCTTTAAGTAAACCTTTGTTAGCGCTTATCTTATGTGAAAATGTTAAGAGGAATTTATTTTAAATCTTTTATATTTGCGTTATTATTTTGTAAATAACTTACTTATAACTTTAATTATAAATTAGCCATTTATATCTTTTTATTTAGTTTTTTAATAAATAATGTAAGGGTTTTAAGGATTGCGTTTTTAGCAATCCTTTTACTTTTTTTTAAATTTATTTTTCTCTTTGGGTAATTATTAGTTTAAGGCTTGGTGCTTTTAGTTAAATAGGGTTTCTTAAGATTTAATATCTTAATAGCTTGCTTTATAGATAATCCGTTTAAACTTTATGTTTATTAAGCAACCCTTTTTATTAAATATTAGGCTTAAGTTAGGCTTAAGCAAATCCTTAGCGCCTTATTTCCTTAAGAAGTTTGCGATTTGGTTAAATTGCCTCCTTTGTTTATTAGTAGTAGCTATTAAAGCAATGCTTAGCAATGCGTGTTTAGTTTTCTTTTATTATTAATATAAAGGCTGGCAATTAAGCTTTATAGCCTAATTATATATATTTAGCAATGATTTTAATTGATTTCGCACTTATAATAGGATATTTCTTGGTAGTTAGGCTTGTGATAATAACCTAAGGTAATCTTAAATATAGGTTGGCAAGTATATTTAGCCCGTCTTAAGTATTTCCAGAATGCTAAAGGGAATTGCTTTTTATTCTTCCTAGGTATTAATTATAATGTATTTTCTTTGCTTAAGATATTAGGGTAAGTAATTAGGCCATTTTAGGTTGGGTTTTAATTTATATTTCCTTTTTCTTATTTATATGCCTTTTAATGGGGCGAATAATGCCTTTTAGTTAATGCATTCTTGCTTTTTAAACTTTATTTTCTTCCTTATTAAAATCCTTTGTAGATTTGGGTTTTAAACTTCCATTATTATTAAGCGGGTTATCCTTATTATTTAGGTTATTTAGGTTGGGATCTTAAGCTAGCATACCCTTCTGCTTGATACTTTTATCACCCTGTTTATTCTTAATAGTCTTGCCTTCCTGGTTGGCAGAGCTAGTTAAAACATTAAGATTAAGGGTGGAACTTTTTATGGGTAGAATTTTCTTTGCTTCTTGGTTAAATGATAATGCTGCCTTTTATATATTATTTTCTTCGTTTAAGTCCTTATTTTAAAGCTGTATAGCCAGGATGTTATTTGGGTTTGGTTTTTTTATTATTAACTTTATATATGTATTTTAATCTTTATGCAGCATGCTTCTTAATAGCCTTATTTAGCGCTTTGCCTTGTTATTATTGAAATTCGTTATTGTTATACTTTAGTTGCAGAGTTGGTTATTAAGATATAGGATGGCGTTTATAGTTTATTTATCTTGGCTTGCTACTTAGTGCTGAAATGCTTGCTGTTAATTATGGTTATGTTTAAAATCTAGATTAATAATTAGCTTATAATATCTTGCTACTTTTTTATGATATAAGATTTATATAATATAGTTTGGGTCCTAGCCTTTGCTTTCCTCTTTATTATCATATAAAGTAGTTAGGGGTTGGCCTTGTGGGCTATGGGGGCGTATTATGCTAATTTAAATGGTTTTATTTAAAAGCCTGTAAGTTACCTTATTTATAAAAACCGCCGCTTAATTAATATAAAAATTATATTAAGCACTTATGTTTTAAATGATATTAATGTTTTGGCTTAGTTGGATGTAAGATCTAAAAAGCTAGATTAGGGTGGGGGCTTGCTTTTTAAACTTAAGGATTAAAGCTTGATGTATAGTAAAGAATAAATATTAATTCTTATAACCCGGAGTTAAAAGCAATTAATAACCTATTGGGAATTGCTTAATGAACTTCCCTATTATATTAAACTATTTATATGTTTATTTAATTAAAAGGTTAAGTGTTTCTTATAAGCGCTTTTTAAACTTTTTCTTTCTTAAGATAATAAACTTAAAGATAAGGAATCTTTAGCTAGTATTTCTTAAACTCTTTTAAATAATTTATTTAAACTTCTTTACTATATTACGGTTTTATATTTTATAAATAATTTTATTAACTAGGCTTGAATTTATATTATTTATTTTTAGTTTTAAATAGCTTGCCTTAACCTTAATTATAAAGTTTAGCCTAAATGCATGGTAAATTTAGGTCCGCTATATAAGCAATTTAAGCAAACTTTATATTTATAAGGAATTTATTTAATAGCCCAATCTTAGTTATTGCCTCCTTTAATGCTGCTTTCTATATTTTTATTGATTTTAGGTTTTTAAAGGTTTTTTTTAGGTAATAAGCGTATTAATATTGTTCTTTATTTTTTAGCCTTAAGCATTTTTTCTTTTTTTAAGCGGAAGTTAAGGCCTAAATAGATTTCTTTAGGGCTAGGATAAGCTTATAAATAGGCTTTGCTAAGGGTATGGCTTGGGCTGAATCATTATGAACCTTGTGTAGCGTAGAATCTTATGTTTTTAGCTTGCCGCCATTTTAAGCCTAAGCCTTTTTTGGCTTTTTTTAGTATTAATTCTAAAGATATTGCGCGATAATAAAGTAGGTTGGGTTTAATATATGCGATCCTTATGGCTAATGTCCTACTTATGCTTGGAATTTATAGTTTAAAGTATCCTTGATTAATCTAAGGTTTTGCATAATTAGGGTGAAGTTAAGGTATTGATTTTTATAACTTCTTTATAAAATAAGCTTAATATACTTAGGTTTATAAAAATTTCTTAATTTAATTGCAATAAGCTTATATTTAAACTTTATATAAAGGCTCTGCTTTTCTTTATCCTTATTAAAGTTCTTTAGCTTTATTAACTAAGCCTTTTTTCTACTTAGGCTGGCTTATAAGCATGGTAGTTTCCCTTCTTGGGCTTTCTCTTAGTTTGCGCTTAAAACTTTTATTAACTCTTTATTTAATCCTAAGGCTATTCTTTCTCTTTATGTACCCTTTAATATAGGGACTTTTAGGTAGGGGTATTAAGTTTATTAGTATATAAAGTTATAAAAATTTAATAGCTAGTCT